GGCAGGGAGTGGGGGGGTTGATGCTGCCGCTCCTGCCTTCATCACTGTCACGGCACCGCTGACTCGGCCATTTTCACTCGCCATAACAACGGCACCCCTGTGGCACCGCCATCCATCTACCTGCAATAGCCCGAGTAGCGACACGCAGGCTTGATGAAGTGGGCACAGCGGGAGACGTTAAGAGAGGGTGTGTGTGTGTGTGTGTGTGTGTGTGTGTGTGTGTGTGTGAGTGAGAGAGAGAGAGAGAGAGAGAGAGAGAGAGAGAGGAAGCAAGTGTGTGTGTAGGTTTTGTAAGAAAAGGTGCATGTGTATGTAAAACAGCAAGAGTGCTCATGTTTCTGTGTGTGTGTGTGTGTGTGTGTGTGTGTGTCACAGACCCAGATTGCCTGAAGGAGACGTATCTCCTAACTCCTCTCAGTCTGCCAGTAATTGAGGGAGTATTAGAGATACAGTGCTGCAGATGGCTCATGATATGACATATTAGAACACACCCGAGGGGCAAAAAGCAGTAATTGGGGGGCTTCACATTCAGCACGACCGAGTCACGCTGAAAACAGAGAGAGAGATGGAGAGAGAACGGCACAAGCTGAAAATCCCTGCCAACACCGTCAGAGAAACGAGCCATAGTGCAGTGTCAACAGGCGGATCTGGATCAGTGACAGATTCCACTCAGCCTAAAATCCCAAGGAGGAGGACTGGAGGAGTTGGGAGGTGCTCTGGGTGTTGGTTGGAGGGTTTGATTAAAGTGCAGACACAGGTAGACACACAGACGGTGTCACCAAAGTAAGTTTTAAAGCATTCAATCTCTCTCTCTCTGGATCTTGTTTCCTATACAACTGTTTGTATAGTTTAATAAACCACTCTTGACTTTATTTGTCATTAGAGGACAGCTCACAGAGTCAAATTCTATTTGAGGTTCTTATAAGTTGTCACAGACTTCTACAACTACCCCCCACTCTTCCCAGAGAAAAATCCAGCATATGATGCAGAACCACAGTGTCAGGGTGGAGACATTAAGTCTTGGTTTGACAGAACTATAACACTGAGAGATGACAGAGAATAAGGATCACAGACAACAGAAAATGTTCGAGTCTTCAGCTAAAGAGGAGCATTCAAGCAAATGGATGTTTTGCATTTCTTTCTCCATTGTTGTTTCTAACATGTTTTCATTGTTTGACAACCAGACATGGTGGAAAATGTTGTTAGAACACTTGATGGATTTGGTCCAAGGCCCTTAAGTTTGAAATATGTGCTTCACAACAAGAAGCTCATTGGTTGACTGGTTGGAGCCCAGTCGGTCTTTCTGTAGAGAGTCTACGTGTTGTCTGTGTGTTGACTTTCTTTGGGTGCTCTGGTTGGACTACATGTGAGCTTGAATGGTTATATGTCACCCTCTGATGGACTGGAGAACTGTCCATGGTGTACTCCAAAACTCACCTGTGGACAATTCAAATGGCCCCTGTGACCCTGGGAAAGAATAAGAAGGAGATAATGGTTGGATGAATGATGGATGGTTGGATGGATGGATGGATTAATGGGTGGATGGATGGACAACCATATATATCGATCAGAGATCCAACTGTTAAATCAATTAAAAGTGTTTGTACAGTGCACCTGTCACCAATCAGTGAGAGTGGAGACACAAGTATGAAGTTCCTTAAAGTAATGCACATGATGGTCAAGGTTGTCTGTTATTGTCCTACATTCATTTTGCATTTATTATTCTTAGACTGCGTAGTTGAGTTTCACAGGTCATAGGCTGTAAGGCCAGCCCCTGAAAGACTTTGGATCTCAGTGGATGATGTAGTTAGTCAGGTTAGTGTCTTGCCAAAGTGACATTACTGAGGTACAGTAAAAAAATCAATGTACACTTAGATTTACACCTATGATCAATGAGCTCCAGCTAATTCACTCCTCGGGGCCTTTTGTCTGAGAAAGAAAAACCAAAGTAACCTGAGAAAACTTTCACACCTACAAAGCCGTGAACTTTTCAACCTTGCAGACTTAGACAAAGGCAAAAACAATTGCATGGTAGAAAATAAAAATCATGCTGATGATTTTCCATGCATGTAAGAAGTCAAAAAGTTTTGGAAGCACTTGAAACTAGGACAACAGTGGATGACTTGGCTCTCTTGTAATATCCAGGTCTTTATATATATCCAGTAGATGCTTGTCACTGTGTCTGTTGTTTACTGATGGTTTTTGCTGGCTATATTTACCACTGTGGGCAGTTTGGCTTGACAGTGGACATGGAAGTATCTGGACCAGGCTGTCTTGTTAAAAGGTACGGTGCTTTCCTTCAGACTCTTGTACAACATTTCAAGATAATTTTGGCTTGGCCCCCAACTCTTTTTTTGCCCCTTTGGACAGGTCACTAGAAACAGACAGGATGTAAGTTTTTAAAAAAAGATTGTTAGTTTAGCTGTGGTATTCTTTGGGATGCTAGAGACAGAATGTACCACTAGGAGGTGTTCACCACCAAAATGACAAAGAGTGATAAAGTGGCAGCAACAGGAATCATTATTTTCGAGTTCAAGTCATGTGATCATTACTTGGTTAAAAATAATTGGACATTTTGAAATTTGGAAATGTAGATGATAAAAGTAGATCATGATACGGATTTTTTCCTTTTTCAATTTTGTTCACAAACCAAAATACTTAGCTCTACTGTGAAACCTCTATGTTCAATATTTACAAATTATTTTCCAAAAAAAAAAAATTATCTGATTTAGATGGTCGTTGTCATTGAAACCCAACTTGGTGTCAGTGTTGCATATTTATTTAGCTTATTGAAGCCACGGTTGTTCCTCTTCCAAAGTCGATAAAGAGTTTCCTCTTCTCTTATGGACGCACGTTTTCTTTGAAGGCGTAAATAAAGTTACACCCTCTCATAAAAGCGCCCATTCTTGTGACACAAAGAGAAAAACTGGTTCAAACCAGACTAATGGGTCATTAGTAAAACATAGAAGATTTGTTGACTTTCCATCGTTGTTATCCTGTTCAGTCAGTTTTCACGTAACTGTGAGAATTATAAGGTAAACACTTTGTTAATGGTTCTCTTTAAAGAAGCAGGTTTCTTTGTTTAAACCTGAGCAAATATTTCTGCCTCATCACAGTCACAATTTTTTTTTTTTTTTTTTTTTTTTAGTTGGAGAAAAATTAGTTTGGAATTACTGCCATAGTTACTAACATTTTTAAGTTATTAACTGACAATTTATTTAACCATCCGGACACAGGTTTGAGCTGGTTTAAACTGATAGTGATGCGTTACGATTCAGATGATTAGGAAGAGATGAGAAATGATGGAGCAAAGAAGAGTGTGCAGCTGAAAAATGAGAAATTATGAGAAACAAACACCTGCTTAAAACTGTTTTGCTACCACTGGATGATAAAACACATGTTTTTAAGGCTTTAATGCTGAGCAGTGTGAAACGCCGTGCAATTGATAGATAGATGGACTGGAGCAGCTGTGTGATAAATTTCACTTTGGTTTTAGTGGCAGATAGAAGACAACTTTTTAGGGATCGTGAATCTATGTTCATCATTAGATTATGGAACAGAGTGAAGCGGTGAGAATGAAGAATTGGTAGAAATGCAAGAAATGCAGTTACAATGTGGAGGTGAATCTAAAATGATCATCAAGACCAGAAAAGCAACATATACACCTTCAATAGCTTATATCGATAAGAAGCTGAGGTCACGTGTTTGGTTGGCTAATCTTTTGTATTTCGTTATATTAGATCATTGGGAAACAAAAGAGTTTGAAAGAGGTTTCTCTTTCTTTTGTGTCTGCCTCCATCAAAGTGGACAAACAACTCCACCCAGTGGCCGAAGGTGTCACACAGTTTGTCATGGGCATTGCATTCTCTTTGGGAATCTGCCGAAGCCCGAAATTTGTATACAGCACAGGAAAAATGTTCTACCTGTTAGCGGGAATAAATGCTGGCGCCACCGTGTGGCTGATCAAAGTTGTTGGTAAACATAACTATTTTCAAGAAGGTAATAAGGCCATTGTTTCAATTATTATTAAGAAGACATTAGTTTTTAACACTGTTAATTTTTATTATTATTTATATTCCTTGAATTTACCTTTTAGTCTACTTGGCTGTGATTGTATTTGAACTGAAATCTGTTCATGTTCAGGATTTATTTCTATCTTTGCCTCTTTATTAAGCATAGGTTAACCATTAACCTAAGGTTAATCTATAGTTAAAAGTGTTAAAGAACAGACCATGATTAATTCATGTCATTTTCTAACACATGGTTTGGTTTCTTGGTCATTTTAAAGAAGTTTCTACTAAACTGGAATGTTAGTCTCACTCTCTGTTTTCCCTGTTCTGTCTCTCCAGGCCAGTGGGAAACCTCACTCAGGGCGCTGCTCTCACTGTCAACACGAACCCCAACATTAACATCAAATCTGAACCTGTGTCCCCAAACCGAGATCGCAGCACCCCCTGCTCTACTAGCGGCGCTGTTGGAGGTGGAGGTCAACTCCACGGACAAGGTCTGATTTCGGTCGCTTATCCTGGAAGCTTGCGTCTAGAGGCAGGAGGTCAAGGTCGTTCTCCGGTCGACAGCCTCAGTAGCAATGGCAGCTCGTACGAGGGCAGCGACCGGGACGATGGCACCCACGGACGAGTCGGGGGCCAGGACTACCACCAGGCAGGCGGCGGGTCCCAGCAGCCCACCATGGTCCTCCTGCGGCCCTCATCGACTGAACCACAGGAGCAGGATGGGACCAACGTGAAGAGAATGAGACTGGACACCTGGACATAAAGCACCAGCAGAAGGAGGGACAGATGGATAGACGGACAGATGGAGGACGTGCGGCTTATTTATACAAGACCCCACCAACAGCAAGACCCCCAGACACACACACACACACACACACACACACGCATACATGTTGCTGACCCTGTAGCTATGTCCACAGTGACCTCACACAAGCAGAAAGATCCCATTGGCTGTACACATACGACAGTGTACACCAAGTCTGAACTCTAATCCCAGGAAACAAAATATTTCTGGACTAAATCTTCTCCACATCTTCATCACATAACACTTTCACTTGCCCTAAATATGGCATTTAACGATGGCACTGGCTGTTTGCTTCTGTTTGCAACATCTGGGCTGCGGGATGAAGCAGAACTGGTGACGACCTGGGCCACAATTGGTCAAAACATATAACACAACACTTTATATCTGACAGAAAAAAGGATCCATCTCATCTGGACCAGATGAATTCAGACAGCGCTACATTAATGCCAGGAGTGGCCCACATCTGTATGCTATGTGGAAAAACACACACACAAACATATATATATGTATATATATATATGTATATGTATATATATATATATATATATATGTATATATATATATATATATATATGTATATGTATATGTGTATATATATATATATATATATATATATATACATATAAACAAACAGAGGAGTTAAGCCAACAAACCAGGAAACTATTTGTCACACAAACACATTTTTGAATCACGTTTTTTTGTCTAAAATCCAAACTCTAAATTAAGCCTCTTGGACTTTGTCAATGACTGGGGTCCTTGGTTTGAAAACGTTATTGCTATAATGATGTCAGCGCCGCTAAATTCGTCCACATCTTTGTCCACGTCGGCCTGACGTTGCTGTTGCATTGGAATCGTTGCTTCTTTTCTAAGAGCCTCAGCCGTTCAGCTCTTATTCTATTTTATTATATTTTAAGTGTGGAGTTTTATTCTTCTGTCTTGACTTTTGATCTTTAGAGTGTGGATTTGGTTTCTATTCATATGAAGACACTAAATGAGAAAACTTGGCCCTGTAGACGAATGATGGCCGCCTCAGCCCCACCTCCGTCCTGCCTCTTCAGCCTGAACCGCCGCAGATTTGCTGTAAACAATAGAAAAAGACCAGGAACTTGATTCGTGTCTGAGGTACAGACTTTGCTTTGAATCAGGGACGAGCTGCGACGGCGCAGCCACACGCGACACCGACACTTCTCTTTCTGCCACATCGTGTCAACTACAGATGCTGAGAGCACCATGCGTGTGTATGGCTGTGTGTGTGTGTGTGTTATATTGTGTGTATGTGTTTGTGTAAACAGGTTTGTTACCTCAGTGGGACAGATTTTGCTAATTTTTTTCAGTTTTCATCGACCTAAACACACGATGCACAGCAGAAGCTATTTTTGTGAAGCCAATGGTGAGGAACTGTGTACATAGGCAATCTATAACCTTTGTGGCTTTTGTGTGGTAGGGTTTAAGGTGTTTGGAAGGTTTTGAGAAAAAAAAACAGATCTTATATATCAATATAAATATATATATATATTTAAACAGCATCAGGCAGCAGAAAGGGCAGCTCTGCATCTGGGGCAGGAGACGACAACCAGACCACAGGGATTGTATATAAATGTATTCAAGATATCCCTCAACGCAAGGAAACAGCAACAGCAACTGAAGCAAACTGATTTATTCTCAGTGGATCGTTCTCTCTCTCTCTCTTTTTTATGAATAATTATTTATGTGTGTATATACCGTGTACTAAGTCCTCAAGAGGGCGCAATTGAGGTGCAAAGGGAAGGAGGAGCCTGGTGACCGGGACTGTTTTGAGGGAGCGTCATTTCAGACTCTGTCACTGATTGAGCGCACTTTACCTAATACCCCCTGACACACACTTACATGAACACACTTACACACACTCACTAGCGTTAGACTCACTCGACCAGCTGCAAACGTAAAGAAACAATCATCGACAACAAAGAGTTTTGCACTTTTTAATTTAAGTTTTGTTTTATTTGTTTCATTATTTAACACAGAATCCATTTACTTTAATGTTGTTTGAAAACATTGAAACAAAAATGTGTCATTTACAAAAAAATTATAATAATACTAATTAGGAGCCTTCGCGCACCAAGTGCAGTGCAAATACTCCGGACTAAAATCTTGCAATGAAAAAAGTTAGGTTATCACACATACTGTTTCTGTTCACAGATGTGAATCTGTTGAATATTCTGCAGCATCAGAACAAATAAGAACAACAACTGTATAATCATCTGACTCACATATCAGTAAAACTCTGAAACACACTGAGGTGACAGTACAAAACAAGTGAGATCATCGCCAAGGATGCCCCGCCCTGTTGACTGTTGTTTTGAAGAGTTTCTCTTGTTAAAAGCCATGTGTCTGCATTTTTAAAAATATATACACATATATCGTTCACCTTTCACTGGTTGGCTGAAGTTTTATTAAAAAAGCAGATTTGCTGTGAAGGATGTCATGTTGTCTCTTAAAATTGTCCAAGGATCCAACATAGTGCTGAGGAGTAAAAACCAACGTAATCTTTTTTTTTTTTTTTCTGACATCACTCTGAGCCCTCGTCCAGTCTCTGATGTTAAAGCCTTGAAGATTATTGTAGTAGTTATGCTGGAGGTTTCAGAACAAGCCCTCATCTTTAATAACTACCTCCCAAATCCAACGCTTTGAGTTTCACCACATCCATCTGACTGACACCCCTCACCCCCCCCCCCCCCCCCCCCCCCCCCCCCCCCCGTCACTTACCCATAACCACTTCTCCAGATGACACGCTCTTACTAACACCAACAAAAACATCTCTGCGGTACAGTCACCCTCCACGTCTGTTGGAGTTAATCCAGACCTCAGCTCCAAAATGACTAAGAATCAAATTATCTTTGGGTCATTACATCTTCATTTTTTAACTCCTAGTCTTGATGTACATTTTCCCATCATCCTTTGCTTTTCTCATCTCTCTGTGTATCCGCCTCCCACTTATCGACATCAGTGTTAGTGAACGCTAATCTGCTTTGACTATTGAGACTGTTGAGAAAAAGTTTTAACCCTACATTTACAGAGCACTCACATTGAACAGAGTGGTGTGTTGCAACACATCCTGCAGTTTATTGGTTGTATATCAGAAATGGACCTAGCTAACCAGGACTAGTATTACGTGTTTCGGTCTGGTCTGCAGCCCATAAAACCAGGGAAGAAATACAGTAAACATCCCCATTCTAGTTTGTCTAATCTGTAAATTGTGAACATAGTTTATGTTCCTTATGGTCTCATTTAGGGTTTTTTAATATCACATGATGTCATTTTGTAAACAGTAGTCCTGTTTAGAGGAAAAAAGGTGATAAAGTAAGGCGCTTCTGAATGGACACCCTATGTGGCTGTCTGCAAAAGGACTGTCCAATAAGAGCCTGGTTGCAGAACTAGACTGTAAGTAGACAGGAATGATCTTCTTTAATTGAGTCCTATTTGAAGTTACCCTAAAATACACTTCAAAAGTGCTTCAAGAATGTTGACACCCGACATTTTTTAGGTAAATTTGCAAAAATGTGTAAATTTGTTTTTTTTGTAATTTGAGCCTATCGAGATTAGGTNTATATATATATATATATATATCTTATGTATGTCTATGGTCTCAAGGAATGTCTGTAAAAGGCTTCCCCCCTGTTTTTAGTAGTGAAAGGACATAATGCTGCAACAATATCAAATACCAGCTAACAGTTTTCAGAGTATGAAAACACACTCTTGCTAATAAGTTGACATTAATGCTTACAGACCTCCAAAAGCTGCCTCATGCCTCAGATATCACGTGTCCAATACTGTCGTTGACGTCATCCACTTGTGAATGCTCTGTTAACGCTGTAAGCCATAAGTTAGAACAATAATACCAAACAAAAATGGCGGCCTCACCACAGAGGCCTGCGGGTGAAGACGCACTGACTCGTTCTAAAGATGAACACTAGGAGTCGCAATGATCACAAAAACTGAAAGACAATCGTGCTGGGAAATTAAAAATAATAATGAAAATTTCTCTCCTGGGGAGGAAATAAAAATAAAAATAAAAACACACAAAAAAACAAAACATTTTCTCTGGTGGGATGCTGTTTAAAGCTCTCACTCACCTCCAAGTGTAACTTTGTGCTGGTGACAGTCTGCTTTAACTGTTCTCTGACTTTTAATATTATTCTAATAAATATTCTAATCATTAGGCAGCTTTGACTGAGCTGAGTGATGCTGGAGAAATACAGCTTTAGTTTGTTTTTCTTGTGTAGGTATCTTTTTTTCTTTTGGAATTTTATTTTATTTTATTATATAAAATATTCTATAAATATATATTATTTTTCTGTTTTCTCTTGGGAATTTGCTTTTTTTCTCTCTGAAAGGGGGGTGTCACTATTGTTGCCAGATTTTAAAGGATGTGTACCATAAAAGGCAACAATGAAACGTGGTTTTGGGACGTGGACACTGACAGAGTCGCTGAATGACAAAAAGAGAAAAAACTGCTTCAATGCTGCAACTTTTATAGAAGATTGTTCATTGTACAAAAACCTTTCTGTCCATTTTTGGTCACAGGACATGGAGGGAGGGGTGGGAGGGTGGTGACACATTTTTAACTTATTTGTGACCAGACAATGATGTCAATGCATGGACAAGAGACAAGTGACTCATGTTATAGGAAATAAATAAAATGTAATAACAACACAAATATACACCATACAGAAATACTACGTTTAAGACGAGAAAAAGTACGAAAAAAAAAGTTTAAAATAAATTATAGCTAATATATTGTGTTTGGCTAGTCTGCTTTTTTTTTGTTGTAAAGATCATTTTTGTTGTTGTTTTTTGGAGAATGATATACAATTTGTGTATATTTTCATAAATAAAGTATGCACTGATATGTTATTACAAGTTCTATACTGCTTTTACAAAACTACAAGTGTTTGTTATTGTACCAAAGTATCATTGGTCTCGTCCTCTTCCTTCTTCTCCTCCCTTTCCTCTTCCTCCTCTTTCTTCTTCTCCTTCTTTTTTGCGTATGTTCTACCGTATTTTATATATTAAATAGACAAGTTGACCTACAGACGCATTGAGTCTGGTGTCCTTCATGGTGAGATTCTGTCATTTTGCCACTAGAGGCCAGTCTAATGTTTTCTGATTGTGGTTTGTGTGTTGTTGTTTTTTCAGCCTACGGAAGTGACGCTGCTAAATGAGTCGAACTGCAAACCAGCGCTAGTGTGAGGTACACTTTAAGCTTATTAAAAACGATCTTTCTTTCTCCTTTTGGTTTCGTTTTTCAGGGGTCGCTACAGTCAACCGGTTTTATTAATTTGCTCTTCACAAACGTAAGGTGTTTTTTCTGCCACTTGGAGTTTGGCCTTTGGTGCTTTCAAAGACGTGTATTAATTAAAAATTATTATTATTAAATACACGATAAATTGTGCAACAGGAAGCTGTGGGAAATTGATAAATTGAAAAGTGATAAGTAGAAAACCTACAGTACAAATAAATAACAGTCATATACATACCTGTCATTTCAGGGTTGTTCTGCCTAATTTCATTCAGAAAAACTAAACTTCATAAAATAACCCATTGATTGCATCTTACAGCAATGACAGAGAGTCAGATTGGGTTCCCCTGGAATTTATAACAACCCCGCAAAAATTGTAGTGCTTAAGTTAAGTTGATAATTAATTTGAATGTGTCCTTTTCAGGGTTGTTGGGTTGGCTTGACACAGTAGCAGCAGTAGTCGGTAGAGGGCGGGTCACAACCCGTGAGTTACTTCTGGTCTGTAAACATCCGTAATCAATAATCATTTTATTTTGAGTCAATTTCTTACATTTATTTACAAGTATTAATTAAAAATGCTTTATGACTAATGTAAGAATGAAAAGAGTTTGAGACCCTTGCCCTAGACAGTTTGCTAGCCTATTGCAGGAAGACAAGGTGAGAACAATATTTACATTCACATCTATGGTCAATTTATTTATAGTGAACAGCTAACCCTAATATTCAGCTGTAGGAGGAAACTGGAGTAATGGGAGAAAACAATGGGAGATTCCACACAGAATGACTGGGCCTTGATCTTAGTTGTAAGGCAAAGATGTTTTCCCGTTAACAGAGTTCCACTGGGTTGAGGACTGGTGCTTGTTCATGTGGTGACTGTGACTGTCAGCTGGCAGTAGCAGCTGGTTTTGTTCACAGCAGCCATTGAGCTCATGTCTCAGACAGACACTCACTTCTGCCTCAACAGGTTTCTAATAATAACTTCACAATCTCTCTCTCTCTCTCTCTCTCTCTCCATCTCTCCCTCTCTCAGTCATAATAGATACCCTAACCCTTTTCTTGACCGTCTTCTATAAATGCCACTACCATATCCTTAAATCAAACTTCCTCATTTAGAACATTACCTTTAAACCCAATCTAAAAATACAAAAACACATCGTACATTTGGAATTTGTTGTTTTTTGTTTTTGTGGCAAAAATGTGAATTTCCTTTATGGTATCAATCTTTAAGTGAAAGCAAGGGGGCGCTGACATTTACTTGTTTAACCAACTTAATGCTAGTCAGTCACTTCTGTGCTCAGACCCTTTGATAGACATGGAGTGACCAAAGGAGGCAGCAGTAGACCAGCAGCTCCTGTACATTATTCATTTTCTTGGCAGACGGAGAAATAGTTTTTAGTTCACACAGACTGGAGTGTTAGCATGTTTTTCTTTAGATTCGGTGGTGTGTTTTGATGTCCCAGCACTGACCCTGGTCCCAGGTCTGCATCAGGAACATTTGTCTGATTCAGCGTTTGTGGTTGTTGATGAGGTTTTTTATTGGATGGGACTCCAAAGCATCCTCCCTCTCTCTTTCTTTCTCTCTCTTTCTTTGTGTCAGGTGGCTTCATGGGCGTGACCTGTTGTAAAACAAATTACATTTGCACACACTGATTAGATTTCTGCTGCAAACACACACCGACATACACACAAAGTTACACACTCACTCGAACACACACAGACACACCAGCCATGGGGCCGCCCGTCCCATTGATATCTGATCTAAGCCTGCGTTTAAAAATGCTTTGATAAAATATTTCATTCCTCAATTTGATTTGATCTCAACATACAAAAACAGTTTTTCAAAAAACGTAATTTGATACATTGAAGGATACATTTTTTGCTTTGGAAAAATTATTTAAACTGTTTCTTAAATGTTTGACGTACATAACACTGTTAGCTGTTGTTTACAACACTCTAACCTAAACATATATTTTTAGACAGCCAGCTCTTGTTTCCAACAAGAGAATACAAATACATTTCCAAACCCTCCTGAAGATCTGTGATCTGTCCACCCCTGTGTCCTTGAGCAGCTCAGTGTTCTCCTCCTTCAAACTCCTCCCCAGGGAGGTATCTGAGAGGCATCCAGACCAGATGTCTGTACCAGCTCTGATGTGAACAGGCTAATGATCTTTTCAAAACCACTCCCACATTTTAAAGGTCCTCACCAGTGACCAAGGCTTAAATTCAGCCAGTGTGATGATGAAACATGTTTGAGGATGGTTGCTGAATCGATGTATTTTCCTGACTTTTTCATGTTACCATTTGGCAGATTTACTTCTGTAACATTTGAATTTCCCCAATGTGGGTGATGAGTATAGTCTCATCACATCACATTGCATTGTTGTGTCGTGCTGTATTGTATAGCATTATATAGTATTGTATCATATCGTATTGTATCATATCGTATCATATTGTATCATATCGTATTGTATCATATCGTACCATATCTTATTGTATCATATTGCGTCTCATCTTATATAAAAAAACAACAGTATTTGCTCAATGACAGTTATAGTACTTCCTCCAGTAAAGAAGTAGGACCCTCTCTGATACCCTGCAGTACCTGGCTGTAGTTATTGTACTATGATGAGAAGGGAACGTCTTGGAACCTTACTTATCCTTTAAGTCTGAGTTGTTGCATTAGATATTTTTTCAATGTTCCAAATGATATCTCTGTGCTGGTAATATAGAAGGCTGCCATTCAACTTAGGGTGTAAGATTTTTGACCGGCACACAGTGGACATCAGAGTTTCAAATGGTTACCATGCCCCCCCTCACCTCCCCACAAAAAAAAAAAAAATTTTGATCACGGTGACTCAGCAACTGGTCCTTTGTGATAACGCGTGACATGGCTGTAGATTCAAACCTCCAGGTCACGACCTTTACTCATATTGTTTTCAGGAAGGATTATTCTCAGCTGTCGCTGACAGATTGCACTCTGCGATGCAACATCCACTGTTTTAATACAGGCTGGTGACTCATGAGCGGATGGTGCCGTGATTAAGTTCTGATGCCACACTAAAATGCTCAGCTGGTGTGAAGGGGCAGCACCAAAGGGCTGGTGGAATAGGCTGCAAATGTCAGGAGTCATGTGTTAAGACAGAAATGCCTGCAAAACAGACTGCAACGTTCAGTGACGGACTGGACTATACAGAAGTCGACTGTCACTGACTGAAAAGCAGAAATGTTCCAGATACAGCAACTGGGAACAATAGTTTTACACCAACTGCAGCGTATGTTAACTGAAAAGCTGCAGCCAGCAATTTCTTTTTCCACACAGGAGCAGACAACAGTTCCACGTACATAATTCACTGGTTGGTTTGTTTAATAGTTTATGTGTACAAGAAAACACATAGTCTGTTCAAAATCACATTATTACAGCATGGATTTTTAAAACTTTTTTTCCAACACCGAAACAATGACAGTTTATTAGTGATTCCCCTCCATTGTGTTGACTGCATTAAAAATGCATTGGTGAATAGGAGACTTTGCATTAGTGATCAAACATATTGATTTATATTATTGATGTATTGATCCCTGCAAGACGTCAGCATGAACAATAGATACAGTACAGTGTATCTGTGATATAGAACCTACCTCTGTCTATCTATCTATCTATCTATCTATCTATCTACCTATCTATATATCTATCTATCTATCTATACTAATATGTACATATACTGTATAAACATATATATATGATGTACCTTCTGTAAGTGAATCGTCCATCAGGAAGAAAATTGCAACAGGCATACAACATCCTATCATTTCTAGTCCAGCTCCAGAACTACAGGAGCACCTGAATGCATCGTGTTAATTAGGTTCAATTTAGCTTCCAGCAGAGATTCAGATTTATTACGTGACGTGTTTGCTTGTCCTGTAGCAGCTGACATGTAATGGACATCTGAGGTGGGAGGACCCTCGTCCATCATTCACATAGTCAATCAATAGAGACAGGAAGACGGATGGCACATCACATATGTCCACACACACACGCACCACTACAAAGAGGTTGAAAGAGGTTCACTCTTAGTCCTCTAATGGACCTAGTTCATGCACTCACACACACACACACACACACACACACACTCCTCCCCCATGGTTATAAGCAGTGGCACAAAGCCATTGGTCACAGTTGGAGCAGTAGAGTAGGTTCACACTCACAGCAACACCCTCTCCTAAATATCCCATTCCTCCATGGCTTATTTCTCACTTTTTATTGATTTATTTTTGTTATTATTATTGATTTATTTCTGCCACTTAGTGATATGGTTGTGCTCTGTCATCAAGGTTAAATATGAATGGCTGTAAAAAGAGCTTTCTCGACCAGACTAAAACTTTATTAGTTAGTGATATATATATTTTATTTTCACCCTTTTTTCTACATCTAAATAATCTCAGTAACTGTATTCTACTGCTGCAAGTGTTTTAGTGTTTGATATTCACTCTCAGTAAATGTTTTTGCCTCTTTATCATAGTGCTCAGTGTCAATAGAGGAGTCTTCTATTTATAGAGAATATTTATAAAAAACAGTTATCCTTAAATAGAAGGAGACAGGTGACAAGTCCAGTCCCATGATCATTGTCAAATTCACAGGTTCTTACAGGCGTTTGTTGTCACCTTCCACCTGTGTGTGTGTTTTCTGACTATTTTGTGGTGTCACCACACACACACACAGATTAGCTGCTCTGCCAAGTTTGGTTGGTAACCAGGGAGCTTGTTAGTGAAACTTGGCAAAGAGTGAACGTGTGCTGTAGTCTGCAGCTTTGACTCAGGGTCAGTGGGATTTACTCCATGGAGCTGCCAAGAAACATGAACTGATTCACGCAGCCATCAGTGAATAAAGTCAACCTCAGAATGATATGGCAGCAAATGAGTGTAGTCTGCTCAATGTCTCCAGATTCAACTTTAACCATGACACACACACACAGAGATCATTTAATCGCAGCTCTGATGCTTTACTCAAACTTTTGAATCAACACACTTGAGGATTTGTTCATATATATTTTTGAACTAATATCATATTATATCATACATTATATTCAACAGTCGATTAAAGACAATCTGGTAATTCACTGTGATCATTTATTATGAATATCTCTACTATCATAATGTTAGTAGATACTGTGCAGTCAAAAGTCAAAAAAGAAAATGAGCAAAAACAAAAAATTAGATTCCTAATATAAGCCATTCTATATGACTGGACTTATTTCTGTTTAAAACAACCCTTCATATTTATGTGTTAGCAGTTAGCAAGTTAGCCAGGGTAACAACTTCACTGATCTATGTACTATAGTAATGCTTTACTATGTCTCTTGTAATTAGGTTGTTATCTGAGAGCAGCTCATGTCATTGTATGATGCAAGAATGTACTAATATATAAAGTCAGTAAATGGACTAACTGGTTAGATTCTTCAGAAAGCTGGGCTTACTGCAACTGAGCTGCAACTGAGGATGTGTACTGTATATTATGTAATCAGTAGCCCAATAAAACGTAGGTAGTCATAACAAATGTTAAAATGCTAATTTTTTTTTCAAACATTTAGCTGTTTTAGGATTTTTAAAATAAAGGTTGAAATTAGAGAAAAGTAGCTTTGTTTTCTACACATTCTTTTTATTAAACTGTAAAAAATACATCAACCCAAACCTTTTAGTTCCTTCTGTACCAGCGACTCTGAAGGCAGTTATTGTCCTCCTAACAGTGATAAGTGAGTGTGGTCAGTGGGGGCAGCTCTGTTGATGGATGGAGCCCAGAGACAGGTCAGACAGATGCAGTAATACTGTTATACCACTGCAGTACTTCTGCAGAATTACTCAGCAGCTTCCTTCCTTTCAAAATACGAAAGCGAGGCTAAAATGGCAGACATTGTTTGGTGAAGTGGCTGCATGACCGGGGGGAGGTGGTGGAGTCGAGGGGATGTTCACGGTGACACATTCGTCCCCCCTTTGTCCTTTTTCCTTGACCAGCTCATAGGGTGATGGAATAGAATGGCTGTTTTCTTTGTTGCCTCGTCTGTTTGGAGGTCAGTGAAGCTGGGACGTGGCCAAGTTCACACACACACACACACATACACACACACACAGAGTCAGAGTCTAAAGGAAATGGAAATGCATGATGCTGCAGTGTAGAGAGCAGTTGTGTTTGTTGACTCTTTTTGCTAGAATACACATTTCTTCTGTGTGTGTGTATTAAAGCAATTGACCTCTGACATCAGCCATAATTGATCAATTTGTTTTGAACATTTAAAACTGTATTTACTGACTGTGACTCTGCAGCGGTATTTTTTGTCAAAGCCACTGTGTGTTTGTCAGATTTAGAGCTCACCTGTATCATGGAGGTTCAAGCTTTTTAAACCCTGTTTCAAATGCATTTCACAGTATCCAATCATCTGCTGTGTCTTCTATTACTGGAGGATGAATCACTTCAGCTGTTAATGTCTGCATGTGTCGCCACAGCTTATAATATGCATGTGATTTGGCCCAGGATGTTTTCCGTGGCTGGGATGGGTCTGCTTCCTGTAAGCCTTGGATACAGATTTTCCCAAAATACCAGCAGATTTTATTATATATATATATATTAAAATAGGAATCATCATCAGTAAAAGTATAAAATATCTGTAATTACGTTGTAGCAGATACTGGCAAATATAACCATTTAACTTTTTTTTGCTAACATCCCATGCTAAAAGATGTGTGTGCTCTGGTTACTATAGCTACACAGACACAGGAAGCTACATCTAACTACAGGTCAGTTAAATTGCTTTAAAATTTAAAATTTACTTTTCAGTTTCTACAGAAACAACCAAAAGTTGTCCAACCAGTATTATCCGGCTAACTTCTATTTTAGGGATGTTAACCAAATGATCAGCATCCCTTTATTTGTTTTTAACAGTGGCGATCATGAGCATGAATTTAAGCCCATGTCTGTGTCCAGGGTATACCCCAAAAAACATGTATTTGACCATGATTAGTACTGGGACTTGCCTCTTAGTTAAGCAGGAACATTCAAAGACCTAAAAACATTTTAGATAGAATTATGTCTTTTCACAAAAAAAGCACAGAGACTTTGTTGTTTGTTTATTATATGATCTATGTTTTATTTTAGCCTCTTCATGTACCGCATTAGTAGAGAAAAAGAAATAATGGAATGGGTCTTTTGTTAGAACAAGTCAATAGCAAACAACATAGTGTGTTTATATAAGTCATGCCTTCACTAGCCAAGATGATGAAATGAGACAGAAACCCTGTTCTCTCTGTGTGACACGGTGAATCCTACACCTCTGCTCTAACTGAGTTTCTATATGTCAGTAAAATCACAGTAGGCAGTGAATAACAGACATTATGACTTTAAAATGACTGTTGTTTTGGGCAAACACTCCCAACCTTTCTCTGAGACTTTCTCACTGAAAAGAGAAATATTTGGTTGGCACATTGGTGGCTAGTATTACTTGAGTGGGCACTTTGGTTTATTGTATTGTAGATTCACAGAAAAACATTACATTTTCTCCTGACTAAAACATCTAGATTGTTTTGAAATCACTCTTCTATAATTTCACACCGCTTCTTCTCCAGAAGACCAGGATTCAGCCTCGGCCTCGGACTCCTCCGAATGATCAACAACGATTCTCGTTAACACCTGCTTCACCCCCGTCTTCACTTCCTGTTCCTTCTTAACCACCAGACTGTTTCCATTTACCACGTTCGGGTTCTCCACATTCTCCCACTCCAGGTTCTCGCCGAACCTTAGGTTCTGGTTGGTTTGCTCCTGGTAGGCCTCCTCTGTGTGATAGGTGGCGCCAGTCTCTAAGGAGGAGGTCCAGAAACCAGAGAAGTTGGTGTCTTTTTCATTCTCTGTATTTGTGAGTTTTGATGAATCCACAAAGATATCATTTCCAGCCGGCACAGTATCAGGGGAGGATTTAACAGGTTCTTCTTCACGCATCATAACGCACTCATCTGAGCCTCGGTCATCGGAGGAATCAAGCGCACTGTCATGCTTTTCCTCACACTCCCTGCCTAAAATGTCCCATTCAGCTGTTTCTGGAACACCTGGATATTCAACATCCTTGTCAGTCAGATGTGCCTGAGACTCAGAAGCATGTAATTCTTCTTGGTCACCACTGGGGGCACCCTCGCGCTGCTGGTTTTCCTGTGGAACAGAGTCTGGGTCTTGTACTGTTCCCATATCAGGTAAATTGTTACCAAAGTCAGGAACTTCTTCTGTTTTTATATCTTTTACATCTTCCGACATGGGCACAACGGGTTCAAGATCTTTGTTTATCTTGTCTATAGCACATCTATCCTCGTCAGCTAATGGCTGTGAATCTCTGATATCCATGCTCTCTCTCGATTGGTCAATAATTGTAGTGGTAGATGACATCTCTTCAAACAATTGAACTGCAGGTTCTGCTGTCAGAGACATGTCTTCTGCCTTGGTTTTGTCAGACTCTTCTGGTTCGTTCATCATCTTCTCTACGACCTCGGCCTGCAGATGTAGCATCTCCTCGCTCTCGCTCATCGGCTGCGTCTGTGCAAAGTGAGCAGAGTAGCTTTCCGTGGTGAGGTTTTCTAGTTCCTGCTCCACAAGTCTGTCTGTGTCTAACTCCTCACCGTACCCGTACCCTACTTTTGGCGTAGCCCTGGAAATGATAAACTCCTCTGTTTCTTCATCTGAATATTCCTCACTGACATCCTTGATTATTTCTCCTTCACCTTCTGTTACTGTATCTGATGCAGCAGGTTCACTGAACGCCATAGCAACCTGGCTGACATCTCGTTCTTCAACATAAGTGTATTCTTTGTCGTATTCCTCGTCCATGGCTTCCCCTTCTTCACACAGATCTTCCATCGTTCCGAACCTTTTAGTTTTGTTTTCACCCCACATCCCACTTCCAGGTTCTCCCATCATCCTTCTGTCCTGGTCACCTTCACTGGACTCACTCTCGTCCATGTGTGACGCTTGAGTGTTGGCGTCGGTCTCATCACTTTTATATCGAATCAGAGGACGAGTGTCTGCCACAGTGTTATCCTGAGCGTAGCTGTCTCCTTCCAACTCTGTCCTCCATGACACAGAGACGTTTTGAGAGTCTTCATCTTCATCATCCTCTCTGTGGTCAGGAGGTGCTTCAATCTCTCGGTGTTTGTTGTCCTGTAATTGTTCCTCCTTCTCTGGTTCAGTCATCTGGTCTCCTTTTTGATCTCCCTCACAAACGTTCTCCTGCTCCTGCTCTTTCTCTCTGGCTGATATGTCCTCCTCTGGTTCAGCATGCTGTGTTTTTGCTTCTTCATATTTGACACCTTTGTCCATCTTCAGGTCCACCTTCTTTTCTATTACACTATCCCACGTGTCCATCTCCTCTCCATCAGGATACAACTTATCTTCCAAATCTGTCTGAACTGGTTCTACTCCAGGACTTATTTCTTGTCTTACTTCACCTGTGCTGTCATTAAAGCAAGCTAGCTGATTAAAAACAACTTCTCCAGCTTCATCCTCAGATGTTGGACTGCTCGTCTTGGATTGAGGTGTTGGTTCAAGGAGAGCCTCGGTTTCAGAATCTGAGGACTTGTCCTGCTCATGCTCTACTGCTTTATCCAAAGACACAGTATAGTCCTCCACTTCAACAGGAAGG